GATTGTTATCCCAGTTTTATCAAGATAGAAAAACTCAGGCTCATGGGAATTAAGGGATTGTAACAGGATCACAGCTAGTAAGGGACAGAACTAGAATTCATACTTCAAACTCCACATCCAGTGGTAGTGAATAAATAATGTCTGAGAAGAGTATTTAGCAAGCATTTTCAGCATAGTATGAAGGGAGCCATGAAGAGGGAGGGCCCAGGAGGAGCCCCAGGGGACAGCAAAGATTAGCAAAACTAGGTAATGAGGGAGCATTTAGTCAGGTTGGGAAAGAATCTGGAGAGTGTAGTGACTGGGAAACCTAGGGAAAAGAGAGTAAATAACAAAGAAAAGAAGGTGGTCAGCAGTGTCAGAGGTTACAAAGAGATTAAGAAGGATGAGGATTGAGAAAAAGTCATTAGATTTGGTAATTTAACATTGGAGAGAGCAGTTTTGTCTAAATGATGAGGTCAGAAGCCAAACTATAGAAAGTTAAAATTAGAGGAAAGGAAGTAATGGCATCCATCTGAAGAAGCTTAGCCACAAAAGACAGGAGAAAAATGGAATGATAGTGTAAATGGACAGACGAAGTGAGGGTTTTTCAGGAATGAAAAGGACATTGATAGGTTTGTAGGCAGTAGGGAAGCAGCCACTAGACAAATAAAGATTAAAGATAAATGAGGAAGTGAGGATTATTGTGGGAGTATTCAGTTGGAGAAAACCGGAGGGAATGGGATGACTAGTACATGTAGAACACATGTACAGAAAACCCACCTCCTGATGTAGGATAGGAGTGAATAAGGTGATGATTGCAAAAGTGATTAAGATATAATATGAAATGAAGGGAGAAGATATGGCCTCAATTTTTTCAGGAAATAAGAGGCAAGATTCTTAGCCGAGATGTTAGGGGAAAGCCTTGGGAGTCTTAAAGAGGGATGAAAAGGTTTGGAAGAGCCTGTGTGGTGAGATAGTGAATTAATTAGTGAGAATTTCCTTGAAGCAGTGAAGGCTCATTTGAGGTTATGTAATACAAATTTGTGTTGCACCTCTCAGTACTGTTTCGTGATTTTTTTTTTTAAATTCATTGAGCATGTTTGTTAAGAACAAAGGCAGCAGGTATTGGGAGTATTCCAAGGCTGGTGCTTAGCCGAGCAAAATCAGTGATACCATAAAGTATAAGGGCCTAGAGAGTAAGATGAATAGAGTGGAACCATTTCATCAAGTATTCAGGATGAGGAAAGGAGGAGAGTATATAACTAGTATGGGGGTGATAGAGACTTGAAAGGCCAAAGGATTGGAAGATGCATTGTGGATGAAGAATAGGTTTGGGATTGGGATTGCAAGACAAAGGGATAGGACATGATGAAAGATTGCAATCAAATAAGGGAATTTTAGAGTTCATGAGCATGTGTTTTGAGTGTATATTTTCTCCTCTGCCTTAAAAAAAAATGCAGTTTCCTCAAAATTTAGGGGGTGGGGTTAGATGGTCCTTTTGATGCTTTGTATTGTTATTGTAAACTGCCTAAGATAACTGTCAGATGTAATGCCCAAGCCATGTTATTTTCATGTATGTTATTATTTAATTCAAGAAAAAAATTGTGTGAATGATTTCAGTGTTTCTAGGTTTATTCAGTCATTTTCATACATCCCTTTAATTTGTTTGCATGCACTACTGATGGTTGGTAAGTAGAATTATGTTCCTTATATGATAGATTCTTATTAATCCATTTGCTTTACATTACAGTACTTAGTTATTAAATTGGAAAACAGTTCTCCCTAAATTTAAGTACATTGCATTTTGTCAGAAGAAAACTTTTGCTTCCTTGCTAATATTGCAGTGTCTAAACTTATAAAATTGAATGTTTCTCACAGTAACTTTATTCACAGAATTAACAGTTATTTCTAATCATGAATATAGTTCAGTAGTCTTGTAAAGAAACTTCTGTTAAATTTCGACCTCTTTGCTTTATGATGTCAGCAAAGGAACTCTGGTTTCTCAAAGTGTATGCCCTCATAACACAAGCTTGTCTTAATTCCTGAACTGCAGATACTTTGAAAATGGGCATATGGAAAGTCCCTCTCTCTCTCTCTCTCTCTCTCTCTCCAGACCAGATTATTAAGTACAGAAGTACTAATTGCCAGAAAGAATGCCACCAGATAATTAGGTAGGAGTACTTGGGGCCACAAAGGTATGGAATGTCCACACTCATGAAATCAGAGACCTTTTTGAAATAATGGAAGAAATGTAAAGGAAAATGGTTGTGGTTCAAGCAGTTTTATTGCATTGTTTATAAAATATATTCATATAAATGCAATGTTGAAATATTCTTTGTAGGTATTGTTAAGCTGTCTTAACATGTCAAAAATACTTAGCGTTAATCAGAGTTCATAGTCATTAGCACATGAAAAGATTTACATATCTTGAATTGGACTTGCTGTCAGTATGTAATGTATCAGTAAATTTACAGTCCATTATTGAAAGAGCTTTCAGAAGTGTACTTTTTAAAATTGTTAAAGCAGTTTATTTTTCAGTAATCCTTTTATCTAGAACATTACATATTTAAAGGTTATATAGCCTACAGAGGTCACAGGTCCAAAGCTAGGTAGAATTGTTAGCAAAGTTTTAAATTTTATATGTGAGAGTATAGTGAAAAAGCTTTGAATTCAAGTCTGGAGATCAGGGCTCTAGTGTTAGCTTTTCCTTTTACTTTGTAGTCATTGCCAACTTAAGTTGATTTCAGGTTTTGAAAGTGACAGTCAAATGAGATCTTTTTTGTTTCATTTTCCTCTTGAGCTGAGTTTTTTTATATCCTTCCTTCTTTAAGATATTCTGAAACTTGATCCCTCAATGCCCTCAAAATGGTGTCATCTCCAGCTGAGGTCTCTTCTGTTCAGTCTTGGTCTAGTATAACTGTTTTGCCTCTTATTGGTTTCTGTAGTGTCATTTTTACTTCCTAATGCAGTTTCATTGAGAGCTATAGCACTGCAGTCCACATTTCATTTGTAAGTACAGTCTGTGTATGATCTGGTTTAATTGGATCTCTTGCTATTAAGCTTTTAAGAGCTTGTTTTTCTATTCTTCCCTCTTGCTGTTTTATAAGATATTGTTTATCAACTTCTACTATACAACTCCATAAGATTTTACAGGTGAATTTATAGTAAAGGTATAAGTATTAAAAGCTAATTTTGTTATGTCCAGTATCCTATTTACAAATATTCCTTCAGTGTCTAACATAGTAATTACGTATTACTATGGCTAATGAATGCTTTTGGAATTAATAAATGAATAACATCTGAAATTTTTTCTGTAGAGCAATGCTGTATTTAAATACAAGTAAAAATAATTTAGCTAATAATCTTTCATTAAACTATATCATTAAATCAATGGAGATTATTAATCTGTTACAAATTTTAAACAAATGAGGATTAGTATGGGTTTTCCATAATAGACAAACAAGGTTGATTCCTGTATTCATTCAGCAAATATTAAGCCCCTTCTGTGAGCAGAGTACTGTTCTTGGGTTTGGGGTGATTAAAGCTTTTGGGATACTGTCCCTTACCTAATGGAACTTAAGTCTGTCTGTGGACACAATTAATTGCAATAAAAAAAAATACAAGATGACATTAGAAATTAGAAATGTTTTTGTAGTGATGGGATAAATATCAATATTGACTGTAGGAATCTATGAAAAATAGATGCATTTCTGTTTTTTTAAATTAAATATCTATGTTAAATTATGTTTTCCTTTTTAAGTAAATATATTCTGAGAGAAATCTTGCCTTTGGAATATACATAGTATATTGGGGATAAAGGGACCTTTAAAAAATATTGTAAGAAAAACTATCCCTAATAAAAATATTAACTATCATGAGTAAAATTCCTAGCTCACTAAAACTTTGTTATTCATCCAGCTGTGTATAACAAACATGCTGCTTCACTAAACTTTAGTGTATTTCCTCCTTTATGGAGCCTTTAGCTCTTGTTCTCAACTTTTTCTATTACTACCAGAAATAATCACCTTGCTTCTATAATTAAGAAAAACAAACTGCCTCTTTTGTTCCCTTCTGTCTTGTCATTCTGTTTTCATTGCCTTGTCAGTTGAGCTCCCAGTCTTATCATCCTATCCTTGCTCATCAGGGCCTTTTCTACTATTGACTTTGCAGATGATAGCAGCTTGCCTGAGACTCAATTATCTACAAAGTGGTCCTCTTTTCCCCGTACATAGATAGCCTGTTGTAACCAAAACTCTTTCTGAACTTTTCAGTTAGCTTCTTTTGTTATCTCATTTATTTAAATGTTTAGATCTTGTTGCATAGATTAACTTTTAATATAGACTTATTGTTTATTGAAAGTATGAGAAGTGATGGTAGAGAAGTCATTCCCAAACTTTTGGTCAAGCACTGCTCTTAACTATTTAATTTCTAAGATATCCTTTTAATTTTATCTTTTTAATTTTTAATGCCTGTTTCTACATTGTATATTAGCCTGAAGTTCTTTGAATTAACTATATTGTCATATTTTTTCCTAATTTCCCTAATTAAATTAACTGCTTTCTCTTTTCACAATCTGTTATACAACTTGTTTTCATCTGTTGCTTCAGCTCTACCTATTTGTAATAGTTATAGGAAACCCTAGGGGTTACTGTTACTCTACAAAGCAGTGATTTAGTTCTGTCAGTAGTACAGTCGTTTGTGATGGGAGTTATTTTGTAACTCCTATGAAAACTATGTTCTGCACTTTTTGAAAGCCAATATGGCATAATGAATAGAGGCCCAGAAGAAGGATAGTAGGTGCATCACAGTGGACACGTCAAATAACTTTTTAGTACCTTAGATAACTCTAAAATTATGAGCTCTAGCAATATTTTCCCCATGTGCAGTGGCAAAAGGAGTTTCCACACCAGAAATTTCCTACACTTATGCAATCATTGGTTAAAAACAAACAAAAATGTAATTTACCAGAAAACACTTAACAAAGAGCTGTATCCAATGAAGTATTATAGAAATAGCAAAAGTACTTACTCCTAAAGCAAATATATTCTCTATTTTTAAAAAATGCTGTTTTGTGCATCTTATTGATAAAAGTAGGATAAATTAATTTAAAGCTTAACTAAACTGGTCTTTTGTTGTTATGCAGTTATGACCATGACCAAGATAATATGGAAATAGCATTTCTGGTTTGTTTAGACTCAGCTTGTAAACATTAGTCTCACAATATTTTTCATCACTTTATCTTGTTTTACGCAGTGTAGTAAGTGAAAAAACAGGCCTAAATTGGATGTGGTGTCATTATTAAATGGGGGAATATGTCAAATAATAGTGATGGGAAATGTAAGAAGTTGGGTTTTTGTTTTGTTGTTTCTCCCTTGTTTTTAACATATTTAACAATAGTTTAACATTAAACATAATTTTAACGTTGTGACCCATGAATTTGTCAAAGGAAACAGCTTGGTCTTTTAAGTATGTCATTTGAAATAAGGGTTTGTTTCAAAGAAGATAAGCAGACTCTGTTACCCGTAAGTACTAATGGTGCTAATTCATCTTTACCTGTCTACCTAAGCATAGCTCTGTACATTGATAACTTAAAAGGAAGTTGAAAAATAACCAAACTCTCTATGATCTATTCCATACTATGGCTCTGTAATGGCATTTGACTCTTAACTGATTTTTTAAAAAGATATTTGTGGGGTTTATTCATTTTCACCTTTGTTTTGTTTTTTGAAACTGAGTCTCCCTGTCTCACTCAGGCTGGAGTACAGCACAGCCATTCATAGGCCTGTTCCCACCACTGATTGGCATGTAGGCTTTGACAACCTTTGACCTGACCCATATTTGACCTGTGCTAATTTGCTCAACCTTAGGGAGCCTGGTTATCTCCTGCTCTTGTGGACTCCCCATATTAGTGCAGAGACACTGGATTCACTTTGTGCTATCACATCTCAAAACTCTCAAGCTCAAGCAGTTCACCAGCTTCATCTTCTGTATTAGGGATTACAGGTGTGTACCCACTACTCTTGCCTAAGTGTACAGAAATTTACAGTTTGAAAAGTCAAAATGATCGCACAAAGTATTAATTACTTTAATAGCGTCAAGACAAATTTGAGTTCAATAAAATTAAATATTTAAATTTGAAATACACTGACTTAATAATTGTCATATGGCACTTGAATGTTTGTAAATCACCATACATATGTTCTCTTTCAAACCTCACAACGACTATGTGACATAGGTGTTATTATCTCCATTTTACAGATTTTCTTAACCCCTAGGGTTCTTAATAAGTACCTAAGGGGGCAGCAGCTAGGTGGTGCAGTTTTGAACTTGAGTTCAAATCCAGCTTCAAACCAAACATTTGACACTAGCTGTGTGACCCTGGGCAAGTCACTTAACCCCAATTGCCTAAAAATAAAATAAAAAATGAAAAACACAAATATTATTTTTTTTAAAAAAAGAGTACCTAAGGTAGGAACTGAATTTGGATCTTCCTAACTCAGAGGAATGTCTTGTGGTAGCTCTTCTTGTATTTTTATTTAATTTCTGTACAGTTACTTTGGTTTTTTTCTTATCTTTCTCCCATGTCCTGAAATATTTACTTGAAGAAAAGTACCATGTTCTATACTTCTGCCCTACCAGATTTTTTACATGGTATTTGCACATAATAACCACTCAACATTTGTTGAGTGATGAATCTCAGAATCTCATTCAGAATTGGAAGGCATCTCTTAGTCCACTACCCTGATACACATACCTAAAAAGAATCCACTTCTATTTATCAACTCACAACTGGTTAACTAACTTTACTTTGAAGACTTTTAGGAAAGGGAGACACTCCTTTTCCTGGGAGAGTCCATTTCACTTTTGGATACTTATTTTGGGAAGGGTGCTTTTTTGTTGTTTAGTTTGTTTGTTTCCTTTGGTACATTGAGCTTAAGTTTGCATCTTTATTTTCTATTCACTGCTCCTAATTCTTCCTTTTGGAGACAAGCAAAACAAGTCTAATCCATCTTTCAAATTCTTAGACTAATGTTTTTTTTCTTTTATGTCTTCTCATCTTAGTGCACATGATATAGAGTCCTTGTTATAACTTATTTAACTTACTGACCTTCATAAAGTGGACCGCTTGAAAATGAAACACAGTGTCCTAGGTTTGTTCTGATCAGATCAAAATACCATGAGACACTCACCTCCATAATTCCAGGTTCTGTGGCTTTTAATTAAGCCTAAGATTTCATTAGCTTATTATGGTAGCCATCTTACACTGCTGACTGATAATTTACAGACTACTAAAACTTCCATTTTTAAGACATTCTACTATCTAATCATCAAATCCCAGAGATTATCTAGTTTTGAAGAAAGTGAAGTGTTGCATATCTGGGATTTGAACCAAACAAAGCTCAAATTTCAAAACCATTGTTCTTTTTGGTATACCATTATTCTTCCCACTTTATTTTGTCAATGGCAATGTAAAATATTTGCTGTGTTCGATGTTATCGTATTAGACTTGGCACTATTTAGAGTATATCAAAATCTGTTGAATTCAGACTCTGGCATTGTAATATATTCATGATCCCGCCTCTCTTTGTGCCATATAAAAATGTGATAAGCATATCATCAGTATGTTTTCTTAACTTTCTTTTCTTTATTCTATCATTATCTTCTAACTTGCCCTCTCTTTTAACAAATGAATGTGTTCATTTGAAACCATCAAACTCTGGCCATGTCCTAAAATATATCATTCTGTACCTCTAGTCCATCACCTTCTCTCTGTTGAAGTAGATAGCATGCTTGTCAGTTTTACAAAGTCGTGCTTGGTCACTGCACTAATCAAGAGTTCGGTGGTCTTTCAAAGTTATTGTGATTTAATATTGTGGTCATAATGCAAGTTGTTCTTCTTGTCCTGCTCATTTTACTGTGCATCAGTTCATGCATGTCTTACCAAGTTTCTCTGATTTCATTGCATTTATCATTTTTTGTGCTGTAATAATTATTATAGTTATTCATATGGCATCATTTATTTGTCAGTTTTCTCATTTGATGGTCACCCACTTTGCTTCAACAAAAAGTGGAGAATACACACACACACACACACACACACACACACACACACACACCCTCTCTGTCTTTTACCTGTGCTTTATGACATTACAGGGTTAAAGATCATGCACTTTTATAGTGACTTTTTGTCTACTATTTATACCTTTACCCATGTTAGTGATTAAAATGTTAAGTAATACAGAGAGGTAGACAGATCTTTTGGGAGAAGTGGATGTGGATATGTTCAAAGATAAATAATAAAAAGAAAAAATGAATAACTAGAAAACCAGAATGATGTTTATAAGAGTCTGTGTTGGGGGAGAATTGGGAGGAAAAATAGTTTCAAAAGACAAAGGGCTATACAGTTGGTGTATAGTTTAAATCCTAAATTATGAAATTTACATTTGATATGACAAACAGGGATCCAATTAAACATAATTTTAAAAGTGAAATAACAAAATTATAATTAAGGGAAATTATCCTGCTACCATATTTATAGAGCACAGGGAAGATTGTAGGAATATATACTAGATATGGGATATTGAAATAATCTCCATTTGTTTGATTGGCATTTGATAAACATGTTAGGTTTGAAATGTGGAAGAGAAAGAGAATCTAATCTAAGAACCATCATAATGGAACAATGCATTTGTAGCATTCAGCTGTGTCTTCTATATGAAAAGCAAGGAAAAGTGATTTTTTTGTTTGTTTTCAGGATTGAATTTCTGAAGCTGAAAAAATTTTTGCTGCTGATTTAATTTAGAGATTCCAGTATATAGAAAATCATAGTCATATCACTAATGAGAAGTATAATCCTGATGTAGGTATCTTCTCACTTCATATAATTAATTCCATGAAAATTAAACATTAAAGGAAAAAACCCTTTTACAGATAGGTAGTGCCACAAGACCAATGAGATTACCCCCAAACAATAGCATAAGAAGACTTTTCAGTGTTACATTAAGGCTTGATTACAGTATCTTGGCAACTATTAAAAAATGATAATTTGCAGGATATATTTATATGTATATTTAGTAGTCATCTGCATGTATGTAGTTAAAATCACTTATTTCTTTGACCAGTTTCTATTTCTTAAGCCCCCAAGAGGGAGGAGTCTTGAATCTCCCACATTAATCATGTATTCTGTTCTACATCTTGTTCTGCAGTGTTTTTTTAATGTTTACATCTATGTTCATTGTCCTGTGGAATATAACACTTCTTTTTTTAAAAAAAGTCCAGTGGTATTAAATATTCTAATCTTTTGAAAATCAGAGGGAATTCTGAACTCAGCAGTCTGTATACTAGATTCAGGTATTTACTTGTATGTATGTATGTATGTATGTATGTATGTATGTATGTATGTATGTATGTATTGCGAGGCAGTTGGGGTTAAGAGACTTGCCCAGAGTCACACAGCTAGTGTTATGTGTCTTAAGTCTAACAGGCTTTTAATTTTCACTACTTTACTATTTCCACATTTGAGACTTTTCTGCTTATTATCCTTGTGAGAAAGTGAGAATCTGTGAATATTGTGTGACTCTTTTATGCATGAAATCTTGTAAGGCAGTGTTGTCAGACTCAAATAGAAACAGAAGCCATGAAACTACATTAGAAGCCCCAGGTCACATATCAACTTAGAAAATTTGCATGTTAATGTTATGTATATTTTATTGTGTTTTTGCTTTGTTAACATTCCCAATTACATTTAATACTGTTTGAGCCCACTTGCAGGTGTTGTGGGTGGGCTGTATGCAGGCCATGAGTTTCATGCCTCTATTATAAGGCTCCTTGGAGAGTATAGAGGGATGATCTTAGAATAGAAGTTCATTGTCCAGTCTGATAAATAAAACATCAACCTACAAAAATTAAAGGAATGATATACAAAATTGTAAGAGAGGAAACACAGCAGTACATGACAAATGGCTAAAACCTATTGTTGAATTCAAAAAAGGGAAAGATCATTCTATGAGAAGAGTGGAGAGCTGCTTTTAAAAC